TCAATCAATTTGTGCAGCACAATGAAATCCTGCTCTTGAATGAGGCCTCACGTTTCAGGTGTAGTAACAATATTCCTAGACAAGTCCCCATAGACCAAAGGTACCAGTGAAAGAAAGTAAGGGAAGGAGCACAGAGGATAAGGAGCAATAGTCAGTCATATCTTGGTACTCTTAGTAAGTATCACACAGCTTTAGACACCAAAGGTCACAGCTCAACCTTCTAGTCATATGAAATACACTAAAATCCATAGAAGAGGTAGGTATTGATAATGAGTTTTGTACCTAAATTCTCTCCTCTGTTCATAAGGTTTCTTCGCTAAGTACCAAGAACGCCTACAGTTCCTTTTATCTGTCTCTGTAGATAGATTTCTCAAAGAAGTTTTTGTTGAGTTGAACCATCTCTGGCCAAAACAGAAATGTTCCAGCCGCAATAATACACTAGACCTATCAGTTGGGGAAATGGGATGAGATCATCTATATGTTCAATGTCTCAGAGTCCTTTAAAAGTTCTTGAGGGTAGGTAAAGTGGGAAAACTAAAGCTCATTCCTTCTTACCAATCTCTACCCGGGACAGTCGGCTCTAAGGGAACTTGAATCCATTGCCAGGCTGCAACTGCTCCTAATTGCTTAACAACAGGCCAATGGAATGGCTTGCTACAAGACTTACAGCTGAATTTAACCCAGCTCTAACTTAGTTATGTATAAAGTCATGATGAAGGACACAAATAATCATGATCTGCGTCTGTAAAAAAATCTTATTTACTGACAGTGTTGGAGAAGTGGGAAGTCTGATTTTCAGAGCCTTATTTTTGTTCACATGAATCCAGAAGACAAAGTATCTTCTCCCTATAAACAGATTAAGTCTACTGGATACTGAAGTCCTTCAGGCTTTACTGAAATTACAGAACTTTTGAAAGCTAAATAGCAGAACAGAATCAAGGTTATGATAAGAAAAATATATGCCTTATTAGAATGAAACTGTCTTTTCATAGCCAACCCTAATAATCCTGAGAGCATCAGATCACATAACCTCTTCGTAAGTATATGGGAAAAAAATACAACTCCAGCAGTTTGGGTATGTAACTACCCCCATGTTTTTTACAGCAAAGGTCTGCGCTGTCTGAGGGCTGTCAAAGGTTGGGATACTTCCAAAGGCAAACTGTTTATTCAGAGGCAGACCTGATCAAGGCTAATGTTTTCCAAAAGGCAGCTAGCTTGCTTAGACCCTTAAAAAAAAACCTTCCCTAGAGCTTACCCACTGCGCTGTTTGGGCTGCGTATTTTAAGCAGCAGAAAACTGCCAAGTCAAAAGCAAAGAATTTGTTTCTAAGAGAAGGAAGGAAAAGACAAAGAGCAAAAGTTAACACTGCAGATCTCTGCAAGCTTCAGAGAGCACAAAACAATTGTTTTAATGGAGCTAAAAATACCTTCTTCTAAGAGCGCTTGCTTTTCTGCCAAAAGCCTGCAATACACTGAGAAACATGTTTGCAGAATCAAAATATTTATAATACTGTGAAGCAGTCCCTTCTTCAGAAACTTATTACAGCTGGTTAAGTTGGAACTATATTTTTCATAATACAGACAAAAGATTATCAACCACAGACAGAAGTGAATATTGGCCTTGTTGCCAATTTAATGTTAAAACAGGAAAAAAAGCTAGCATATGTTTTCTCTAGATCACCTGACAGTTACCTTGGTGTAACTAACTATTAGTACAGTTATAGGAGAAAATACAGTTTTACTTACCAACATTCTCTTTGCTATGTGACAGAAGTGAATTGTACTAGAATGCACTCTGAAAAAAAGGAACAGAAGGGCAGTGCAAACAAATATGAAGCTACCTGGCCTCACTGGAAGCTTCACAAATGTTTGTTCTCTATAGTCAAAAATCTCAGTTCAAGTCAAAATTCAATACAACTCATTTGCAGTCCAGGGGAACACAGAACGCTAAACGTTTATTATGATCAGACTTGATAGAAACTTTTATGGAAAGTGTCAAGTTCGGCTTCTTTCCTTTGTTAGTTTCAGGCGTTGGAAAAATCTTACTTTTTTTTTAAGGGAAAAAAACAAAGAGAAGTGACTTAAAGTCATGAACAGACTGACAATTCACTTTTCAAAATCCAACTTTTCTTGCCATATTTAGCTAATGCCGAAACAGTGTCTACAGCAACATCAACAGTGCAGCTGTGAGGCTGCCAATACTGGCTCCAATTGTGAAAAGCACTTTTTGCTTTTTTTAAGTCTTTTCTTCACTATTCCCCTTCCAAAGAGACAAAATAGCACAAAACAATCAACTGTTTTGTACAATTGTCTGGAAAAGGAATCCACGATTTTATTTTGTAGCACAGTTTCTATTTGCACATTAACCTAGCAAGAATTTAATGTAACACGTTACAGTATTTGCAACATCGGAGCAACAACTCATTCAGCAATCACGAATTGCCAGCTCCTGCATTTAATATCTTTTTTGAATTGCTCTCTTCTGTTGTAAACCGAGAAAGAAAACCAAAAAATGATATAAGAGGGTGCTGGCCACACTTGCGTGCCAAAAAAAATCCTGCCTTTAAATAAGGCCCAAAACTGAGACAGATTACATTAGGCTTTTAGAAAAGCTGCTTAATACTCTCAAAAAGCCAGTTTACACAGTTTGTTAAATTACAGTAGGAAATTCTCTTTCAGTAAGAGAATGGTAAAGCAGCAAAAGTGGAAAAAGAGCATTCAAAGTGCTGAAAGCATTTATACTATGTACGTTACTTGATCATTAGTTGGAACTTCAGTTCTTCCCCCCGAACATTGTCCTTTCTGTCCACACTGATGAAAAGCTGGAATAGAGCAAAACAAAATCTTGGTGCTACAAGCTAGTTCTATGAACTGTTGGGGCTTGGCTCATGCTGCAGTCACCAACAGTGGGTCTGCTAGAGATGTTCTTCCCTTCCCTAAAAGGGAAAGTGAGCAATAATGACTATTAAGGACTATCAGATGAAGTCATACGACTCTCGGTGTCTTCGGTTCATTTGCAATAGCAACTGCCTCCATCCTTCTCTTCCTGTAGGCACCAAGAAGAAATATCTGTGCTTGCCATCCTCTGATATATTCTCCATACCTACTAATCTAACTTCTTCCCTCTGCATCGATCCATTAATAAAAAAAAAGGAGCTAAAATAATTTCTGACTGTAAATTATGTCCTAACCTTCAGCTTGGCCTGGGTATTTAAATTTGAAGCATGTCAGGGTGGGATGTTTTGTTACTTTCTGCAACACTTAACATGCCAGAATACTGCTCTCACTTGACCTTGTAGTGTGCTGTAACAAACACATTACAAACATTATGAGACTTCTCAGGTTTTGTCACAGTACAGGAAGATGGACAGACCTGACAGCGTCCATGAAATTGCATGTAGTTCAAGTGTCAGCATTGTCACAGGTAGAAACACAACAAGGACAATTCATGTTCATTTCAGGACTGTCCTGAAACTGGTTTTAAGATCAACTACACTGAAAAGCAAGCAAAAGAGGATATACTGAAGTTTCTGCTGCCCTTAAACAGCTATTTAAGCTCACCTGATAGGTCTTCAAAAACTCTTGATTCTTTGTAGTGTTACAGTAACTTTAAAATGCCTATGATGTACTGACATGCCATCAAGCCTGGAAGACAGAAACTTAAGAGTTGTCTTGGTAAATTTGGAGCTTTAAAAATACATAGAAGACATTAATATAGCATAAAGTGAGCCCTAAAACAAGCATTGTCACACTTTAAATTCAGAACATGTTCAATGTGAATGGATATGTTGTTAGGCACTGTATATAAACCCAGTAAAGTGAGCTAATAGCATCAGCATAATCCCTAGAGCAAAATGTTTTGTCACCTAACAGACAGATGAACAGCAAGTTTCCACATACGTGCTGTTTACTTATAAAGCTTCCAAAGAGCTGCTTATGTCTTCCTGTAATACTCAATATTGGTAAATCATCACCAAAGTAATCATTGCTTCCTACCTCAATTAAAGACTTAGCCTAGTCCATGTCACACTACAGTTCTCCTCAGAACTCCTCACAACAGAACAGAGCTGCAACTGAAAGTACTGATATTCAGAAAATTATCATATCCGTACACAAAGAAAATTAGTTCTTAATAAAGGAACACTTATTAAATTTTGACTGTCATTTTCCCATTGTCAGAACTTTCCACTAATTCCAGCAATTTGGAAAATACTGACAGTAGGGACCTGTTATTCTAGAGAGCAACGTTTGAAGGTTACAACTAGCACAAAAAGTTGGGAGTTGCACTTTAACTTTTTTTTTTAAAGAAAACTGTGAAGTCAGTGAGCTTGATTCAAGGTATGTCCCATTACCAACTGCTTTACCAGCCTCTCTCTCAGTGGTAGTCTAGCCCATTACAAATTAATTTTCTCCTATCTTCCCTGCTTGCTCTGAATCAACTGATCATAGTGTTTTTTCTAGAGTACTGCCAAAGGTGTTTTAAAAGATCCAAGACACTCAGGCATTTGCTTAACCTTTACATCAGGCTGCAGTTTCATTCACAGGCATTCATGGTCCCTTACTACAATTAAAAAAAAAAAAAAAAAAAAAAAAAAAAAATCTCTTTTCAGGCGCATGCAATGCAGGTGTATTTCCTAAAACCCCAAAGGTAAGCTTAATCTACTCTTATCAAAACACTGAGCAGCGAAAATGGAATTAGAGTAGCAAACACCAGAACTAGTACTGGTTAACGCATGCAATCAGGAAGCAGACACAGAGGTTATGTATGTGTTCCTGTAATTATGTTCCAGTAAAGAGGCAGATACTGCCTCTATTCCATTTCTTCTATCACTTCTTTAAAAGATTCTGCCTTTAAAGCTGTTGGTGCACATATGCACACAAGTATCCTCCCACCTAGCAGCGCAGACTGTTTAGTAAAGGAATATACAATTTGAAAACAGGATTTTATTGGAAGCTTCTAAAAAATGTCTGACATCTTATTCAGGAAAGGCACTTCAGACTTTAGTCCCTTTTCTTTTTAGCTTTGGGTTTTCGTGACAGCTGAGATAATTCACTTTCTTCAACTTCATCGCAATGCTTTCTTTTCTTTTTCTTTGACTTTTTATGGTCACTTTGGTAACCGCTGGAGTCACTGGTAGGCAATACAAGTTCCTGTTCTTCTTGCTTATGCTTCTTCTTTTTTTTCTTTTTCTTGTTTTTATCATCACATAATCCATTCACAGCATCAACACTTTGCTCTTCTGCATTTTCCCTCCCAGTGTTATCCGTCTCACCTAGAGGGTCCTCTGTGACATTATCTCCCCCAGAGTCATTCAAGCCATATTCCTGGTGGTCAAGCTTTTGAATTTCATCTCCATTTGTACTGTCAGTGACAGTCTCAGATCGTTTGGGCTGCATGCTGTAAAGAAATATACAAAATAAGCTGAAGTAGAGACATCTAAGCGCACCTCACACAGTGAAAAGCCAAAATTTGCTAAAACACAGTATTTACACCAAGTAGATAAGAGGTAAGTATTTGCTAAAAAACCCCAACAAATAAAGAACATGATACTCCACTTACAGAAAATAAAGCCAGTTTAAGACTTTCAAGGTGATTTCTATTATGTGACTGGCTTCTTTCTTCCTACAGAATCAATATTCTCTTTCAAATCTTAGCCTAAATTTCTTCTTTAAAATGCTGTACAAACCATTTTGATATTTCCTCTTTTCTTGTACTCCTTCATCCACTAATTCATAACAACGAATTGTATAATAAAGCTTTTTTAAAAAAAGTTATTCACAAACATGCAGAGCCAATGGCCCGTTCAATGACACATGAGATACACTGCTGGTTTTACCAAGCAATTGCCTTGCTGAAGTCTATACAGTTAAAACAAAGGTGATGCCAGAAAAGTCAAAAAAAGAAGAAACCCCCCCCAAACAAACAAAATCAAAAAACCCAGCAGGTACCTTGCAACTGAGAGCAATGGAGAAAATGTCTAGGAAGAAAAATATGGAATGAGTGCAGTTAAAAACCATGGAAGAGATGTCCCCAGAGACACTGAGGAAAAAATCATTAAGTTTCATTGTAAACTCACTGAAATAATCCAGAGCAACCTTCCAGATTAAAAAAAAGAAAAATAAAACAAAAAAAAGTTGTATGATTTTGTCATTAGGAGTTATACTGTACATTTAAGTAAAAACACAACCACGTTGGTAGCAAAAAATTACCCAGCAAATGAACTCTTTTAAAGATATCACTATTACGATTTTTAGCAAGCTGCTCTAAAAATTTAGTGGCATAAGCGAAAGAAGGAAGGTGACGCATTTTCTCTTATCATCTTTGATATTCTTATGTTTCATCACGCATTTAAGTCATCCACATATAACTACTTGTGGTTTTGTAATGTGTGCACGCGTGCGCATGTGTGTAAAAGACAATGTAAATGTGTTCAGGAACTGGAGCGTTTTCACTTGAAAAGCCTATGCACTTTCATAAACACAGCTACTCTAGATGTCTGGGGGTGCTATTTTGAACGTGTATTATTTATACAATCAACAGTTCATAGGTCAGCACACTCAGATTTTTAAAGCTCAAAAAAAATCTACTTTTCAAAAAAAAACCCCAAAACTTCCATGCAAGTCCTTAACACTAGAAAGTTTAGTTTAAGATAAGTAACACAGGCTATATATAGACACACGTTGGTGTAAAAATAAGAAAGCTTAAAGATTAAGATGTTAATTCAAATCATTTGGCATTAAAGCAGTTTAAAACATTCTCTAGTAGGGCACAATACCGGCTTTTAGTGAGTCCTCCTCGAATGAAGAACACCCCAGCTGCATCAGAATCCAAGTGCAATACTTGAAATTTCAGTTCATCCCCTATTTTTAACCCCAGCTCTTGCCACTGTACAATCGACATTTGTTCAGGTTTTGGGATAGAAGCATTGAAGCATCCATGTATCAGGCAGCCAATATGACTAGGGGCCACTTTATTAATTACACCCTAAAAAAAGCAAAAGAATGTCATATGAAGCTATAGTAAAGATTATCCCTTTAAATGCACATGTGGTTTCCTATATGGACACTTTTCAACAAGAGGTTATGCACAAGTTGCAAAGTCAGTTTATCTATCAAATAAGCTAACATTTCATTAAAATCAAAGCTATTCCTATACACTCTTAATTTCAATTCCTCTCAAAACAGAACTGAACTTACACCTGCAAGAGAAAGAAAGTCAGAACCTGGGATTTAGCCACAGTAAGTACCTTAATAGAACAAGTAATTCTTTCCTCACACTACAGCCATTAACGTTGCTTTAAAGCCATTTTAAGTCTGATTTACTTCCTTAAAACGGCCTTCATGCTGGCACAGCAGTACTTAGCAGCTAAAGATACAGACGACACATGAAAAGCTTTTAAGTACTCCATTCAGTGGGTTTCTGACACATTTGCATGTCAAACTTTATTCACCTTTGTTTTTCCCAAGGATGAATGAGAGGCACTGAGGGTTTTTCCATTCTCTTCCTAGCAAGGGAACACGTTCATTTCTTAATCACACTTAGAAAGACACAAGCTATGCTGCAAAAGGTATGGCACAACAACGACTGTAAGCCAACTCTGAACTTTTTTTTTCCCCACAAGTGCTGGTGCAAGGCTATTAAGAAGCTTAAAGCTGTTCTGTGAGCCATACATTTCCTTTTGCTGAAAGGCAGGCTTCAACTTGATGTACTGCTCTTGTACTTGAAGGAAAGAAACCCACGAGAACATCCTAAACCTCCCTGCCACTATTAAATAAGAACACACCTGTTTGAGAATTATCTGCTCTTCAGAAAGAAGCATCGATATGACTGATATGCAAAATTATGACATAGTATTTAATAGCATGCAATCTTTATGATACAATGTTGTAATAGCACCTAAATATGACATATAAATTTAACAATTATAGGAACAAATAGTAGGAATAGATGAAAATAAAAACCACTACTCTACAAACTGCTAACAAACTACTGTAAACTGCTCATACACCAACAAACTAAAATATACCTCCACCTAAGTCCCAGACCTCTGTTGATGGAGGTAAGCCGAACTTTGATTATTTAACAAAAAAATATGCCTCGTGAGACGTCAACGCGTTTACATACCACCAGTTTTTTCCCTTTCTTGGGGCTGAAGATGACGAAGTCCGCCTCGATGTTCAGGTGGATGAATCCTTGGTCGTCGTAAATGTCCCCGAGCTCGCCCACCACTTTGATGTTGTCATAAGCCAGCGGGACACCCTGAAGGCTGGAAGGAGAAGGGGGCACCGTTAGCTGTTAGGCCGGAGACAGCCACCACCGGGCGGGGGAGCGTCCCCGGGCCGCGGCGGGCCCAGGCGGCGAAGTGGGGACCACAGGCGGACTGAGGCCTCCTCGCGCCCCGGGAGG